AGCGTAAAAGATATTTTCTTTTATTTATACCTTGCTAAGCCATATTTTACAGTTCACACAATTACTGACGTTTGAGTGACATTGAAACAAATTAGACAGAAATGAATATTCTGATTGCACTTTGAAGAGGTTCGCGTGCCATCATTTGAGCATTTCGCGATAAAATTAAGTAATTTCAGGTCGGTCAGTCTTAGATTTGACCACTTTCTTTTTTCCTTTGTGATGTAATTTTGTTTTACAACTCCCTGCAAAATATCACTACATTCATTGACTTTTCTGTGATTAATAGTGTAACCAGGCCTACACCCTTTCCTCTGGGTTTCGTGCTGCTGCATGAGATGAGGCATACGTTTTCACATATTTTTTTGGCCATGTCTAAAGAGTGTTTTTTTTAGTGGTTTTTCGTATCTGGCGTGGCACAGGCCCTTTTTGAAGAACCCTTCAGTTTCAGTGAATACCTGCAATGCATTGAAGATTGTATTAGAATGCGTATATTACAAAAATGTGGTCGGCATTTCGAGTTTTTCAGAGTGTTGACATAACTTAACATGTGTTCAACCAAAGGCGTGAAATGTGGGAAAGCTTTGGATGCGAAAAAAATCCACTTCATTTTTACGCGAGAGTGTCTTCTTTGGAAGGATTACTAGGGAATGAAACCTTTATGGATTGACTTGAAATTTGGTCCGATGGCTCCCAAGATACCAACCTAAAACAACATGTGGGGCTTTTCTGTTTTTCGAAATTGATCTCCCGCAATGGTCTCCGGCGTAATGCGTTCGGTAAAATTTTGATAACCGAACTTTTCAGAAAAATTCTCGATCGACAGGAAATTTCTCGATGGACAAAAAAATTCGCGATCGTATTTGCGAAACAAAGTCGTGAAGAGACAAAAAGAAGTTCTCTAAGTCTTCATCGTTACCTCTCACCGATTTAAAATTCCATAACAATCCAACAGCAATAAGCAGCTGTACAAACATCGTTACAATAATTAATGACACTTCAGAACGCCCGTAGACTTTCTCAAAGTCGTTCGCTTGGTTTTCTATTCTGGTGTGGTAGCTCACTGTCGCGCTACGCGCTCAAAAGCGCGACTTGTGAGCAAATCAAGAACGCCCGCAACTTTTTACTTGGGGTTAACAATCCGCCTTTTAATTTCGTTAGTGCTCTGTGATGTCCCATGTGATTATATTTTGGCGCGAAACGCCCGCTGACCAGCTCGATTGACAGAACAATTCTCGACCGACAAAGAAAATTCTCGACCTTCAGGGAAATTCTCGCTTGCCAAATATTTCTCGATCGGCAAAAAAATTTCTCAATCGGCAAAATAAATTCTCGATCGGCAAAAAAAATTCTCGACCGGCAAAAAAATTTTCGATCGGCGAAAAAAATTCTCGATCGGCGAAAAAAACTCTCGATCGACAAAGTTATTTCTCGATCTACCAAAAAATTCTCAACCATTAAGAAATTGTTTGACCCATGAAAAAGTTTTCTCGATTCTTTAAAATATTTCTGAACTTACCACAAACATTTCTCGTCAGAGGGAATTATTTCTCGACCAATGAAAAAGTTTTCTCAATCGTCAAAAATAGCTCTGGACCATCGAACATATATCTCGAAAGACAAAGTTCTTTCTCGGCCGACAAAATTATTCTCGACTACTTTTGTCCAGTATGGCTTTCCATAAACATCGCCATAAAGACGAAACATCGATTCATATATTTCGTGCAAGCTCCTCTAAATAATGCCTTTCAGCAAAAATTAATGATAAGTAAAAATATTATATAATCATGGGTGTAGTACCGTATCGAAGAGTTAATTGGTAAGTAACAAAAAATTCTGCCGTCTGCACGGTCTGCACGGTCGCATGGTCTAACATGACATGATCCTATTGGGAGTTAGACATGAAAGCAGATGTCCAGTCTCTACAGCGATTAAAACTTAGCAGGAGGTATTTCAATTATCTTGCGGTAAGAAAGAAGAAAATATAAACCTGTATACGTTGTCGTTACTTGTAACACTTGTACTTAAGTGTAAACCTTCAAATTAATTTTAAAAAACGTTTGTATAATGAGCATTATCCGAGCATTTTAGTTACTTTTTTGGGGGAGACAGAGCATTTTAGTGGGAAAATTGGAGCATTAAGGTGGAGCATTTTAGTGGGGAAACAAAAGCATAATGTACAAAAGCCTAGCTGTTTTCCATTGAATTATCTTNGCTCCACCTCCAGTAGCACTGGCATCCGAATAAACAAAATAACTTGGATCTTTTCTTACAAAGCAGTACCTAGTGTTGATATTAACCATATTTCCTTTCCAAAAATACAGTTATCCCTTGCAGTAATGGTCGAGAAGGGATATAGAATCCCACTTATCCCAGCACAAGGTGGACAAGAGACAATGTCTGGTCATTATCCTGCCAATGCTACCAACTACGGGGCCGGCAGAGATAATTTGACCTGTGGAGGCCAACTCTCTAGCAGACACTTTGAAATCGGCTTCGATGATATGATCAATTGTATTGACGATCTTAACAATTCTTCTTTCTACAATTTTTAAAGTACCTAGTGCAGAATTCCAGGTTATACCCAGCCAGTCCAATACCTGGGTGGGTTCCCCTACCGATTTGTCTTCATCGACAACAAAACCCGCATTACACAAATCCGCCCTTACGGCCAGGGCCTTAATGCGACAACTTTCGCTATCCTGAACAATCGCCCAACCGTCGTCCAAGAAGATAGCTATACAAAGACCCTGTATTCTCCAATACTTTTCTAAAGACTTCAAAACCTTTGTGAAAACATAAGGGGCAGAGGAAAGACCGAACGGGAGCACGGTAAAAACATAAAATACTTAATTGATGGAATTAGGCGCCCGCCATGAAAACCCCAGAAAAGTTTGGTGCTCTTGTGCAATGTCGATATGATGGTAACCGCTTTTTAAATCGAAGGAAAACATGTACGCGTCTTTCGCAAAATAAGACATAGCAATTTTCCAGTCCTCGAACTTTGCTTAATTAAGGACTTATTGACGTGGCGCAAATCGAGAATTAATCTCTTCTTACCGCCTGGCTGTTTAGAAACTGACAAAGGATTTACAACAAAAGACTGCTCATGAACCATACGCACCCGATCAGAATTGAGAAGCTCAAGAACAGCTTGGTCCACGAAATCAGGATGAAGTCGAGCTGACTTATTATTCTTAAGCCTTATGGCCAACGGAAAAGTGACGAACGGCAGCCTGTAGCCGTTTTCAATAATAGACAAAATAAAATCCGGAGCACCTATAGATCTCCAGAACGCTAAACTATTTTTCAAATTACCCTTAACACTTAATGAATGTCCGCTTTCAAGTTCGTGATTCTGAGCAATTTGATCTACCAGCGCCAAGACATCTTCAATGCTTTGGCTGAATTGGTTGTCCTGAGGTTGGCTTGTAGGAGATTGCAGGGAATGAATTGTGGCTAGGGGGCTGGTAACTTCCCGGCCGGGAAAAGGATCGACAGTCCTTAGCTCAGTGTCCAAATTTGCCGCATTTGAAACAGCGGAAGAAGTCGCCAGAAGTGTCTCTACGGCCTGAAAGATAAAGGCAATGACGAAAACTGTGGTAAAAGGGAGGTGGGGGCGGG